CAGCAACGTGAGCGAGGTAAAGATGTTAGTGTAAAGCCAAACAAATAGTCTTACCGTTCCTAAGCCAATATAATGTTTCTCAATGTTATTGCCTTCTTTCTTGCGTGATGATTCTCACTCCCATACTCCAGACGTTAAAAGTGATGTTATTAGGCGTCAGACAGCGGACTGATTCTTACTGTCTGTCTGAATTTTTCTGGCAGATGGAGAGCTGCTTGTAGCAATAAATCACTCACATCGAGTTATTTATTGCTTCCCTAAGCTTTTTCGGAAGCAAAAAAGATCTCTTTTCTCTGCATTAGCGCCCAGCAATGATTTACTGTGCGTCAAGAACGGAAAGCTGTTTGTATTAAAAACTTCTCTATGTTGGAGGATTATTTGTTTGGCTGCTCAAACTTTCATACATTATTCACTCTAAAGTATTTAGTCTATTAATCAACTGACTTATATTCTCATGAAAAAGTACTGATGCATTGCGTTAAATAGTGTTTGAAATGATAGATAGATTCATTAGTGCTACAAGCAAAAAGTTATCGGGAGGAAGTAAAGTAAATAAAGTGCACGTGATAACTGTTACTGTATGTTTCGCATGAAAAGTTTTTTATTTTATGATCAGAGGGAACATACTGGAAGCAAAAATTAATTAATATGAGTTATGAATTTGCTCATAGTCAATAATTCTTCAATAATTTATAAACTCTTTATCAGCAGTAATTCCTTGTGATCATCAAAAAACTTTTCATGTGGAGCATACAGTAACAGTTATTATATAAATCTCTTTTACGTAGTAACTTTAGCATGCTTCATTCCGGTCTTGATGGTAATTTATCAATAATGCTTGCAATCCTCAAAACCAAAAGCCACTAAATTTAAGAATATGGATACGTTTACTTCTCACAAGCATGCGTTACATATGTTACATGATCACTGTAACACGTAATGCATATTTTTGGTGCACATGAGATGTTTTACTACTTATCGATTTCTGCAGCTTCTGCAATTCTTTACCCAATCTTTCTTTCCAACTTTAATTTGTGCACTAATTTTACGTCTTAAATTTCTAATCATAAATGTTCATTAGACATTTTATATCATAAATTTTTGTGATGACAGTGATATTTTTTGAGGGAAGAAAAAATTAAGCGAATTAATTCTGAAGAAATAAGCGAACAAATATGTCGCAAGTATTTATTGCTGAAACTAAGCAGTACTAGAACTGTTTTGCACCCAGTTTACCATTAAATTAAAACACTTTACTTTTCCCATAAAAATAAATAGATTTATATGAAAGGTTGATTTGATAAGTTAAATCAGTCATCAAATCAAATAATCGCTATAAACTTTTTCTATATAGTTTAAAATTGCAGCAAATCTTTTTAAAAGCCTTTTGCGAAAAATGAGCAATGCGATCAAATCAGATTGCTCTGTTTAAGTCAATTTAATTTCACTATTACTTCTTCGGCAGACACATCGCATTTTATTTTGCTGCAGTAAACAAGAATAACATTGACAGTGCCTTTAATTATCAATCTCGTTATTCAATCATTACCATCTCATCAAAAATTAAAATTGCTAGAAACTGTGCAGCATTCGTTGCTCGCAATTTTTCTTTCCTCGTTTACTGTATACCGAAACATTGTGCGCGTTTCTTTGCCTGCATAATAAACAGCTTGAATCTTCTGTATTGCATTACCTTCAAAGGGTAGTTCGCTGTCCTTAAGCATATTGTAAATTTCTCGCTTTGATCCATTTGAATCAAAATTATATGCGCGCCTAAATTATAGATTTATAATGCCAGTAAATTAATATTTATGTTGTTTATATTAAAGATACCATTTCAGAGAATTTAAAAGTACAATTAAATCATTTAATTCAACAAAATTCAGTGATAATAAATGCATTTCGGCTACTAGAAAATACTATTACTGGTTATGAATTTCAGTGCATTTTGCTGCGAACTAAAATGGATAAGGCCAACAATATGCTGCATTATAACATTAATTCAGTTCCTTGATAACATAAATGGCTTACTCAACTGTGATATATTCCAAATTTGAATAAATCAAATACAAAATGAATCAATCGGTCAGTTTTAGATTAATAGAATAAACCTTTAATTATTATTGTATTTAATTATAAAAGCTTACATAAACTGTACGTAATGCACATTTGCAACAAGGATAATAGCTTTCGAGCATAATTCATGCAAATGATGATGAGCTCTAAGACTGAGGTATCGTAGAACTTCGTCCTCACTCATTGTTTTCCATTGCTACAAAAAAAAGCCTGATATGAAGCCAATATAACCAATACTTTGTAAATTAGTTAGACTTCTTGAAGATAAAATTTAAATTAGATTAATAAAAATGAGGTTTTAATTGTTATTGTGTTTGATTACGAAAAAAACTTACTTCTGTTTCAAATTTATTTTGTCTACATTTTTAAGAGTCTCAGAAGTATGAATATGTAGAAGTTTTTTTTATAGGTCTTAGATAAGTAAAAAAATTTTTTGAAATTCAACTATTAGTAAGTAAAATTTAGATGCGGTATTTTTTTATTGTACTAGTAAAAAGCTTTTTAAAAAAGAGTTTAATTTCCATTGTAGAAGTTTACACTGTAAGCTTGATTAATTGGAATTTAACTATTGAAACATTTAATTACAGCATTTAACACTGATGTCCAATTAGACTCGCTCAAGTGAATTGAAACCTCATTCAGTTTATTTCGAAGGCTATTAGTGATGTGATGTAAGAGTCCAGAAACCGAGAGGCCGAAAAGTCCGGATGCATGAGATAAAATCATCAAGGACATCTGGCGCGGCATCCATCATACTGAATGAACCTTTTAGTGCATGATGTATCATCTTAACATAAAAATGTATGTTTCGAGTGTTAGCTATGATGAATCCATTTTTTTAATTCAGTGAAGTAAAGAATCACTGAAATTTAGCTGATTATAGAGTTAAATGATTGTAAAGTTTTAATTGGTTATAGAGTTTAATGATTATAAAAGTGGCCAGAACAATTTTTTGATTAGTTGAACAAATTTTGCTGCCATCAGTAAGAGCTAGAAAACCTTGCCAAATTTTTTTAGATTAGTATCAAAATTTCACAAAATTAAAATATTGACGGGTGAAAATAAAAAATCTTATGAGAAAGGAAAAAGAGATCAAGATAAGGGCACTGAAAAGTAAACATTCGATGAACGAATAGCGTAATTTGATTAGAAATAAAATAATGAAATTAACGGACGCACATTGATCTCAAAAAATAATTATATGCGAGGTCATATCATTTTACGACCTTACTAGCATTGTTCTTCAACAAATTTTCTTATCGTTATCCATCAATAAATGTAACTTTACTAAAAAAGTGCATGTATCAGTAACTCTCATATTCTCAATTTCATTTACCACTGCAGAAAAGTATGGTATTACCAGATTAATCTTGAATATGTGTAAAATTGAGTTAAAATTTCATATTCAATGAACAGCAATTGTGTTTATTGAGTAGTAAAATTTTGTAATAAGAACTCAGTCATTTTGGATCTTGTTAGCAAATGTTTTCTGAACAAGAAGTCAAGCCTGAATATTCAATATGTCAAGAATTTTGATAAAAGCTGTCGCAAGTCGATAATTCTCGACTATAGCAAGAAACAAAATGCGCTTTTTCGATATCATAGAAATGTGATAATTTTCTTGCAAAATTAACTGAAAGCTTCAATTCTATAATCACTAATTTTCTAGCGGTAAACTGCAAAATGAAGAAAAATAATTTGCTAAAAACTGAACTTGAGCATCTAACCAATTCTTAAAGGTCAATTCATAACATTGCTCAGAAATAGACAGCCATATTTTTCATTGATTAATTTGAATTTTTGACTGACTTTAGTGAAGAAAAATTGAATTACACACATAAAAATGCTAAATTGTGAGTGAATTCATCAAATAATACTGATTACATTGCTTTTACCATTATTGTTTACCACATTAGTGTCTGATTAATGATTATAATTTATTTGGGATTTTGCTGTAATTCTAATAATAATAATTGCGGACGGTAATAATTTCAAGATAGTTTTGTGGAACTCAAAATTAAAAAATATGAAATATAGCAAGATGAAAACACTTTTAGAAAACATTATTATAATAGAAATAACATGGCAAATTTTTCGTTCACTATGAAAAAGCAATGAAATGCTCATTTTAGCAATTCAAATTAAAAGAATGCTTTACTTTTTGATCTACTTTTCGATTTTTGCACAAATAATTACGAATTTTTGCAATGAATAATCACAATTCTAGTTTTTTTAGATATTAAATTTTTAATTGCACTCTTTTGTTGAGTACACGCACTTAATGCATTCTAGCAAGTATTTATTTGAGCACATACAGTTTGGTATTTGTATAATACTTGAAATGATTTAATCATAGCAACAATAAAGATGACTGTATTGAGAATCTTTTGATTGTTATTAATCACAGGAGTTATTAATCACAGGAGCATAAACTTTATCAAATTATATTATAGTTTTTGATTGAGATAATGAGGAATTTTTTAATAACGTAATAGTAAGTATTCCATTCGAATCCATGTTAATTTCAGGGTGATCATTTACTGCATTAGTTGGTAATTTATAACGTCGTTCGAATTGTTTCTTAAAATAAGTTATTTAAATTTGCTGAAATTCAAATTTCCAGAAGCCATCTCAAAAATTTATATTATTAGCGAAGAATTTGGCAGCCTAACATTGCATTCAAAAATGACCGTTATTTGAAAATCAAAGGAAAACTACAAAATCATATGAAAATAATCAAACAAATATTGAAAAATTACTGCCTAATAATGATGGCACGCTCCTTCAACGCAAGAAATTTATTCATTTTCTTTCTTACATTATGTTGAATTATCACATTGAAACAGTTAAATTATAGCTTCTGTCTGAATTCATTTTAGAGCCTTTTTGACTATTTTTTTCACACAGCATGTAAAGATTGTGCTTCAGCCATTATCAAAATATACCTTTCCATTTTTGTCAGCATGTAATCCTTCGATTTTCAATTCGTCTGTTTCGACCTTGACCTAAATCATGATTATTGCTATATCATCATTATTTTAGTTTCAATTTTTGATAGAATTAGTATGCACTGTTTTTTTAAGAAATGGAAGCGTAAAAATTGTAATGAAAACAAAATCAAAGACTTATTATTCTTATCAACTTAACACTACAAATGTTTCAAATTCTTATTGAAATCTAGCTTTTGAAGGCAATATTTAAAAAACACACTGTAATTTCATCTCTTGCGAAGTTTCGTGCATTAATAGAAACAGAAAACCTATCATTATTATCAGTGATCTGAAATTAAATTTTAAATTTAATTAATACTTAAATAGTCAGTTCGTCAACATTAAAACATTTTGGATGCAAATCAAAATTTTGCTTTCATGCTTATAAAAAACAAAAGTATTACTTTAGAAGAGTCTAAAAATTTCCAGCGATTCCATGCTTGGCATTATTTGTAAATGAAGCTTTTCACTACTAAATACGTTCATCGCAAAAGTATGAGACAACTTTTAAAGTTTACCTTGCCCACCTGACTGCCCAGAAGGTCATCATTCCCAAATCGTAATATCTCACCATGCAAGCCATGTGATGGACGCCAGTAATCGGTAAATATTGAGGGTATAGAGTTTACTAGCTTGCTATCTCTTCGGTACATCTTTTGAGGTCACCAATCTAATTTTGACAAAATAAATTATTCTTGCATAATTCATGTTAAAATATAAACATTAACCTATTATATGGCTAACAATAAAGTTTTTCAGGAAACTTCGCTTATTTTAGTCTTATATTAATTTATTTATTATATTTACATATATTACAAAAAATTACAAGCTTTTTCAACTCCAACCCCAGAATCAAGAAAACCTTTGAACTGCTGCACATGATTATACTAAAGTTTTTTTTAATAAGTTTTTTTTCGGTATTTTTTACCACAATATTGCTCGGCTCTGCTGAGTTGTCGAGAGGTTGAGTGGCCAACTAGTCGAATCGCATCATAAAGTAAAAAATGGGGGATGAACGCAAAAAACGGAACCTGGAATCATAAATGAAAACAAATGGAAAACAGGTGATGTTGGAAAAAGCTTTGTGATGATGGAGGAAAGCACTCGATAAGTATGTATCGAAACCAACAGAATTGCTTGCCCGACGAGTACAGCGAAAGTGCCAGAACACGATCCAACGTGAGAATAAGAAGACAGACGATCAACCTCTGACTTGCTGCACATGATTATACTAGCAGTAAAGTTTTTCAGGTAACTTCGCTCATTTAGTATATTGGTCCTACGTATTATATTTACATATATTAAAATTATAAGCTTTTTTAAACCTCAGTTTGTGTGTTTTATCCATTTTAAATGCAGTAAGCGAATTGAATTTGTGCAATTTAAAAATTACAATAAAGAGACTTCCAAAATCAGTAGGGTGCATGAAAAAATGGATACATAAGTAAATAAAAAAGGATAATTAATATATTTGATGAAAATCCATCAATGTTAAATGTACGAAGCATCGAACAATACATTCATTAGATAGAAGGAAGTTTACAGGTTACTTAGCATTCAAATTGAAGTTTTCATTTTGCTCAGTTCTGAAATTATGCAGAAACGAATGTCATTTTCTTCACAAACAATTCTAACAAACAAAAGTGCTGTGCTTGGCATTTATTATTTCAAATTGAATTTCTGCATTCAAAAACTAATAGTATTATTGAAAATATTTTCAGGAAGAGCCTTATTGACACTTTTTCCAAGAAGAGATTAGTTGAAAATGGGATAACATTAACTTCTGCCAATATATTAAGGACAAACAATTTTATTTATTTATTTACTTATCTATTTATTTGTTTATTTGACAGCAATAAAATAGTTAAATTCAATGAACTGTTGCAAATCAAAACTTCATTTTCTGAGAATTGTTTACATTGTAGAAAATTGAATTCACTAACTACAATTTTTTCTTAATTTACTGCAAAAACGCAATAATAATTTAGTTAACTTTCACAAATAAAGCAACTTTAGAGCAGAAATCAGTCATGAGCACTAATTTGTTAGTAACTTTCAATTATTTTTTGACGAATGATAATTTGATTACATTCTTCTCAATTTAGACAAGTGTCTTCATCTACGATGAATCCGAAGTTCATTTCGAAATGAAAACCGGAACAATTTATTATTTTGTAGTCTTCTGATCAAACTAATTACATCAAAAATCATATGTGATATTCGGTGTCTACAAACGATTTTTTAAAGTTGATGACTATAAGGCAATAATGACTAGTTGAATGTTTTTGTTTAAGTGAAGCAAAAATGAGAATTGTTGGCGAAAATCGAAATGACAAATGTTTTTGCTCACCAGTACTTGAAATAGAATCAGTCTATAAAGAGATTTTTTATATTAGCCATTAACTTACACATATGACTGCAGCAAGTTTTATTCATTTTTTCAAACAGATTAAAATATGAATATTTAAACGAATGTAGCAATTTGTAATTGCAGAAAATTCACTGCAAGCATTCTTGTTTGATAAATTTTTTTTAATTATATTAAAGTTATGATTTAAAGATTTGCATCTGCAAAGAAATACAGCGATAAAATTAAGCGGAAAATAATTAAAAACTGGTTAAATTCGCTTGAACGTTACTAACAAGCAATCTACAAATTTTCGAAATGTATTTGAATTAGTAATTATCTTTTATTAAAATAATAAGTGTTGTATTATTTTGAAAGCAGTCATAATAACATGTTTAACTTTTCTGCGTTTAACCAAATCGAATTTAATTGTTGATCAAAAATTGAAATTCTAGAATAATTGAACTTTTTAAAGCAACATTTGTTTATTTCTATCAATAGTAGCAATGATAAAGTAATCAGAACGACGGAAAATAATCAAAATGCATTTTAGAACAAATTAAATAACAAGCATTTCTTGATTAAATTTCCAGATTCGCACTCACTTCGACGTACTCTTTATATAAGTATGTAAATAATCAAATTTAGATTTAAATTCTCTCTTTGCCAAGGAATACACCCATGAAAACAAGTTCAATAAATAATATACATGCTAATCATTGACTAGCAATTTTTTTCAACATTGTTGCCAATAACCTTGCATGAAACAAAGCTGAGAACCAGTTCTACCATCAAATAAACACAAAACTCAAACTTGCCGGAAATGAATGAAACGTACTACCTCTTCTGATATCATTCATTCATGCACAAAGTATGACTGATTCCTACACTGTTGTGAATATATTATAATTTATGGAATTAATATTATGTCGATGATTTTTATTACCTAAGAAATTTATTAAATTTGTTAGTTAAAAATATTTGTAATTTCATTTCATAAATTATTTATTTATTTTTAAAGTATAATTTCAAATTTGGGCAAAAGCACGTTAGCCACGTTAGCATCAGATGCAACAAAAAGTAAATATGATTTTCTTTTGTCAGTTATGAATGGACAAAATTTTCTGTACTGCTGAAATAATGTCGTTGATAGTGTTGAATGCTGAAATATTGAGAAGAAACAATTTTAAGATGTTAATCAATTACTCGAATTCACTCAAATTTCTCATAAAAACTGAGCTGCAAAGATTTTCAATGCCAGTAAAGAAGGTTTTATTTATTATTATAATTTACATATCTCCTTTTATTACATTCCTTTATTTTACTTGTGACACAATAAGCAGTCTGCTTCTTATGATCACAACTTTGCAGATTTTGTCAACCAGTTATTAAATGGGAAATTAAATATATTTTACAAAGTTTCGCTGACCTGAACCTCCCAAAATTTTGATCTTATTAATCCTTTTAATTGCTACAAAAGTTTTATCATCAATTTTTAAGAGTTATTAATAAGAAGGGGTAAATATAAGAATAAACGAATGACGTTTCCCATTTTTCATGTGAATTCTAGCCATGAAATGTATTAAATTATGCAATATAGTTATCGTAATCATTTGATCGCACTGATTGATCATAAGGTGCAAATCGCTTCCCAAAGCGTATCATCATATCTGCTGCACTTGGAACACGTTTTGCTATGTATATGCCACTGTCCCGCTGAAGTTTGAAATTTTAGAAAATAAAAAATTACACACTGTTATCACAGTACTGTTTCTTAGAAACTATAAGCAATATTAATAAAATCGATGAAACTGATATGTTTATATATATAATGTTATATATATAGGAATTAATTGGTCACGAACTCAAGTTAGTCATTTTCAATATAAGCATTATTTATTTCATTCGTTGTTTGCTAAATAAGGTGATGAATTTTCAAACTGGTGCTCGGTTGCACTAATTTTAAGCAACAGTTTGAAAATTAGTGAACATTTATATGAAGTGTATAAGACTGTTTGAAATAATCTGCCCTAAACAGAAATTCATTTTCACACGCAACTTTTAATAATGTCATGATTTTTAAAACGTTTATATTATGCTACATCGTGTACAGATTCACTCAGATATCTGTCTGCTACATTTTCTGGCTAATAGAGCAGTAATTATTACTTTTTGTTGCAGGAAAAGTTATCAAAAAAAAATCAAAATTTTTCATGAAAACATTAAAATCATCAAAATTCTTTAAAAATAAAAAATTTCTAACATTCATAAAATATCTCATCGGTTCCAGACTTCCACGGTATAAAAATTGCCGTGCGAAATCGTTGTCTGAAATATGAAATTAAAATTCCTCACAATTACAACTGGAGTAGGCAGTGATAAATTCTGAATGATAAATTGATAGTGGTCAAAATAATCCAAAATTATTTCAATTAGCTGAATTATTTGCTCAATAATTACATTCAAAGTATTCATGGTGATAAAATCATAATCAAAACATCAAACATATCATTCATGAAACATCTTGAGTGCAGAAAACCGAACAGTAAAATTTTCTGATTATTTAGTAGCTTTAATGATAATTAATATTTGCTACGAATACAATAATGCAAAAGCTTATTCCGTATATTGAAGAATTAAATACCTTTAACCTTTTTAGCGCTTATTTTACGCATTAAAAAACAATTCTGTGCTTATTATGTTAGTAAGAAGTCGATAGCTTTCGTTGATCTATAAGTTATATAAAAGATTGTCGATTTTAATGGTCAAGATTGCTTAATGTTATTGGAGAATATTTGCGAAATTTGATATTTTAAAGATGCGAAAACAATTTTGCTAATTCACAGTAATAAAATCGCAGTAGATATTAAGGTGAATTTCACCTTGCAAACGTTTCGAATCCGTAAATTGACAAATCAGAAGCAGTAGAGCTGCGATGAGTGTTTTGAATGTCAGCATTGCCTAAAATTTGAAAACTACGAAGCTTCTCTTATCTAACTTTACTAGATTATTATAATTAATTGAGTAATAACTTTGCATTGTGAACGGATAACACACTGCGTGAAAATTAGTCGATGTACGACAAAAAGGCAAGAAATCATTTGAGTCTTTTTGATATAAACTAAAATTGGTAGCAGAACTAAAATGGTCAAAAGTAACATAAAAAATTCATTTCCCTATTATATGCTTTAGTTCTTTTTTCGAACAAATTCACCTTCTCTTAAATACTTCAGATGCTAAAAGACAAGATGCAAGAAGTAATGACTATTCAATGCAACGCTTGAATGGTTTACTTTCTACCTGCTG